AAATTATATTTACCATTTACTAAAGCTCCTTCTTGTGGAGTGATATAATCTTTTCCTTGTATAATTTGATGCCTTTCAATACTTCCATTCTTTTCAGGACTTAAATCTTCTCCTTTCCAACTAATCATTTCGATCTAATAAAGAAAAATATATTTCATAACATTAAATTTTTAATTAAATGAAATTTAAAATATATTATTAATAAAGATTAATATTTTTATATAATTAAAATTAATGTTTAATAACTTACTTCAAATTTAAGTGTTGCATTTGGAGGAATTTTAGGTGGACTACCATTTTTTCCATATGCATATTCAGGAGCACAGGTCAATAATGCAATTTCACCTTTTTTCATAGTTGCTACTCCTATATCCCATGCTTTGATAACTGATCCTTTCTTAAGTTCAAATTGAAATGGCTCATTACGATCTTTGCTTGAATCAAACTTTGTTCCATCCAATAAAGTACCAGTATAATGGACTGTTACATTGCTTCCAGGAGATGGAATTTCATCTCCAATACCTTCTTTGATTATTTCTTTCATAACACCTCCATCCTTATTAGGAGATATATCAATTGCAGCCATTCTAAATTAAAAAAAAATTGAATAAATATTATATCTATTTATATTTAATATTTTATATTATTAAAAATGGTAAATTTGATTTTACTTAAAAACCACAGAATAACTATGACATAAATAATGATATAAAAAAAAATTTTTTTAAAACATAGTATTATAACAAATAATAAATTAAAAATTAATTTATACTATGCAATGTCTTTATACTTCTTAATAAAAATAAATGATGTTAATGGAACTAACGAAAAATAATATGTACATAAATATTTATTCAGCAAAAAGAAATGAAAGTATATATATAAAATTAAATAATACATATTGCAAGAATACTTACTTATTTTAAATCTTTAAGTAATATTTTTGTAATTCAATAACACTTTACGTAATACTGAAAACACGTTTAAGGCAGATGATTCCAGAAACTAGCTGGTCTCGCAGTTCGTTTAAAGTAATCAATTTCATAGAACTTACCAGAAATTCTAAAGCTTCATTTTCGTATCGATTATCGACTTTTAGTTATGGTATCTCGATTTTAATATCGATATAATTTATACGAATATCGATTATATTTTTATTTTTGAAACAATTCAATTTTTCTTTTAATCTTTTTCATTTTTCATACAATTTATATATTTTTTTTATTAAATTAATATAAAATTATTAAATAAGTATAATTATATTAATTTAATTATTATATTCATTATAGATAATTCTATAATTCAAAATATAATATTAATATTCATTAAAATTATTACATTTTATTTATACAATATATTTATATATTGCATTCTTCAAACTGTTCAGTATTTATTAAAGATTGTATTTTATATATATTTATTCTATTTAATCAATATTTTAAATATGATGGTTATGATAAATTTTATATTTATTTTTCAGTTTTTTTATAATTAAATTTATTTCCATTATATTACTTTTGAAAATAAAAAATATTAATAAAAATAAAATGTATTGTGTTTTTTTTTATTAATTTGCAATGAAAAATATTTTATGAAAAATATATATTTATGATTTAATTAATTATGGATAAATTAATTATATTAGTTATAAAGAAATCATTCCTTAATTTGGGATATATAGTAAATAGAATAATATGTATATATAAAATGTATTTAATAATATAAATAGCAAATTAAGTTAAACAAAAATAAATAATTTATTTATAAATCAAATTTTTAATAGTTATTTTTTCATTCAATATTTTATATCATCTTTTTCTATTACAATAAAATTTTAAAACAATTAAGATCACATTTTATTTTTTATGCAATTGAATTTTACAATAACTGAATAAAATGATTTTTAAGTATTACAGAAGAATAATATTAACACAAAACAAAAAAAAAATATATGATTATTATAGAAGATTACAGGAAACGTTTTCTGAAAGATAAACATCACTAGTCATATAATTGTACTATGTAACTAGTATAAATATGCAAGTATTCTCTAACTTGTGACAGTTTCGTTTAAATTTCTATATCTTAAGATGAAATTGTATAAAATACATTTATTTTTTTTTATGTTACTTTGCATCGCGGTAAGATTTTAATAACATTTCCATACTATTTATTACACATTCAAATTCAAATCTCTTTATTTTATAATTTGTCATTATTTACTTTAAAATTTATTTTATTTATAATTTTTTTTAATTTTGTTATCAGTATACTAGTTCCAGTATATAAATTTATACCATTAATAGTTAAGATTAGATAATAGTTAATATTATAAGTAAAAATAATATATATATATATTATATATAAAAATATATAAAAAATAAATAATATTTTTATATAATTATTATATAATTATAATGAATTTTATATAATTATATTATTGCAATTTTTATCTAGTTTCTAAAATAATTTATGAAATAAAAAAAGCGTTCCATTATCACTAATTATGCTGTGCATTATGAAATGATATATTATTTTATAATAATGATTTAAATTTTATAATTTTTATTATAAGTAATATTCTTTATTTTTATTTCTTTTTTTATTAACTTTGCATATTTTTAAATTATATGGTTCCGTGATATAAATAAAAATTTTTGAATGCTATATTTATAACATAGTTCATTTAAATCGATACTTGTGATAATTTCAAATTTTTTTTTAAATAAAATCATTTTTAGTATATTATTTTAATATAAATTTTCTTCTTTGATAGGCGTCAGTAATTTCTATAAATATACAACCTATCATGCATCATCATGATGGAAAAGCTGGTTGTCGATGGTTTAACAACGGAAATGGCAATAATAATAGTACTAATAGCACAAACGGTAATAAATGAAAAAATTTATATAGAGATAAATATTATTAATTATATTAATTTGAAATTTGTATAGAAATTAAATTATAAATAATTACATATACATATTTTTAAATATTTTAGTTTAAAATATTTTATATTATAATTTTTTTTAGAAATTTATTTTAAAAACTTATATAACTTCTAATTATAAATTTATATAACACTATTAAATCTATTGAATTGATTTACAGCTGGATAAAATGAAGAATCTTAATGCAGATAAACCAATAAGAATGAAAAATATAAAATGAAAATAAAATTATACAATAAATATAAAATCAATAAAATATTGTAGAACAATTATTTTTGTGC